ATTTTTCATATAGCTTCTAATCTTCTACTCTTAAATCATTTCAAGTTAAAATTCTTCTTGATGAGTTGTCTACTCCTCATATATTGTATAAACGCAATCATCATATCTCACCCAACTGTTATCAATACTATCAAATTAGTACACCACTACATTGGGTTATCTGCTCATCACCTGCACTATTGCACAATCTTATCGATAACTTTCTACAACAGGTTATCAACTCAACATCATTGGATGTCTTATCTGAATTGATTACTACATTTTATAATCAAATCAAACATCTTGACAGTATGACATTTTATTACAACCAATGTACTCCATTTATCAACTCTACTTTGTCTAGGCTAGTTTCTCTTAATATTATAAATCTACTCAAGGACATTATTTCATCTGCTATATTGGCGTCAACTATTACTATCAAATTTTTTTACACCTTAATTCACAAATTTATTATAACATTTGGATACCTTATTGTATCTCTTATTCTTCAATTCAACCTTCTAATAATGCTACATCTTCTATACTAGTTTTATCTCTTTTTATCTATCAGTCTTCTCAACCCTTACCACTTACTATAGCTAGTACTAAAATTGGATTATAGTACCCTTTATAGATAAAATATCAAACAAATTTAAACTATATAATTACTAATTCACAAATCTAGGTGAGCCATAGCCACCCTAGTTGGTTTAGACCGCAGATAAATTAGTCTAAATTTCTTTTCTTGCTATTTTAGAATATAAAATTTAAATAGATTCTTTTCTTTATAAGGATATTCTTTTTACTGTAGAAGAATTAAATTAAATTTTAATAAAGTCAAAGACATGGTCTCACTATTAATATTTAAAAAAAAAAAAGTATAATATAAGACTTTTGGCTAACCCTCTCCTCCTAAAATATTACATAATATCTGTCACTGCCTTTATTTGTTGCTTTTGATAAATACTGTAAAATCTAAACATATATTGAAGAAAGTTCATTTTTTATCAATATATTTGCTATATTCTAAAATTTTCTATAATTGTTTTTTACTATGAAAACACTAAGATACATATTGAATTTATTGGTTTTATATGTATTATTATTAAGCACTATATTTAAAAAACATTGGTATAACTTTTGTTGAGAGAGTGATATCTAAAAAATATCTAATAAATAATGTTCAGTACCAAAATATCAAACAAATATCTTCTAGCATGAATCTTGTAATATTTTTTCAAAAAGAGTATTAAGAAATAAAACAAAATCAAGCCTCTTATTGTTATATTTATAAATTGCATTATATACATCTTGCTTATGAAAAACATATTAATAATATTTTATTTTAAGCATTTTTAATTGAGTAATAGATGCTACTTTACAATCTTAAAAAAATTTAATATCTTGCATTATCTCTTCATTAAAATATTAATATCTAGCAATAATATCATATATTTAAGTGAGATTTAATTCATGATTATGTGTATTCTTTAGCAGTATTGTCACGTGACAGTTGTGAACAGTAAATTTTGACATTTTGAACAATTTTAGACAATAAAATAAATTAAAATTACTCAAAATTTTATTATAATAATCTATATTAATTTTTAAATAAAATATGTTTAGTATATAAAAAAATATATAATTATATATTTTTTAAACAAAATTATTAATTATTAAAGCTTGAACATGTTTTGGACACTTGTGGATACGTGGATACTTGGATATTGGACAATATTAAAAAAAATTTTGGATAGTTAAAACATATAACACTGCCTTTTAGTGTTGTATATTTTATTTTATGCATAGTTTTTAAAAATATAAAATTGCAATGCTATTCACATTCTGTCTTTGTAATGCCCTATATATAATGTGAATTTTGATCAATTACCTTTCTAGGTTTATAGATACCACTTAATGAATATTAAAATAACTTGTGACAAGTAATACTTGAATTATTTAAATCTTTATTATTATGGAAAATCTGGTATCTAAAACTCTGCTTCAAGCAATAATTATATATAAATTTATCAATAGATAACCAATCATCAAAATAATTTCTTACATTAAGATTATATTGATAGCTAATACTGGGATTATTATCATTTTCAGTAAGTAATGAACTGCTTGTGTTGAAATTATCATCATCTTCAAATAATAAAGAATTATTACTATCTTTAAATAATAGTGAAGAGTTATCATCATTAAATAATAAAGGATTATTACTATAATTAAAATTCAGTAAATAGTAAAAGAAAGTTTGTATTAACAATACAATTATTTTAGTTGCAAGATGTTTGATAAAGGTTTATATTATTGATGATACTATCATCATCTTTATAGTTAGAAGGTGGTAAAAGATTTATATTTTTGAATATATAAGAAAGTGTTATAAATGAATCCCAATTAATATCACTCATAAAATATTAGTATAAAAGTTGATTGCTAGTATAGAGTTGATAACTATTAAAATAGTTAATATATTTAAGGTTCACTTGCTTTTTTCAATTCTCTATATTACTAATAAAATTTGATTGCTTGTTTGTACAAATGAAAATTATTTTTGTAGTTCTGCAAAGCATTTGAAAAAAAGTGTAATTATGATTATGTTTATGTTTATTCCTTATATAGTATGTAGTAGTTTAATAAATTAATTACATTTGTTTATAGTGAAATTAAATTTAATTAAATTAAACAACTTACCCCTGCAGGTGAAATTCACTGGGATCATTACTCAATTAATTTAAACTACTTACTCCTGCAAGTAAAATTTACCAGGATAGTTATTTACCCCTGCAGGTAAAATTCACTATAAATTAATTATAAATAATTTCTTTTATTTGTTATTTTTAAAAATTTTTAATTTGAATACTAAATATAGTAAAAAATTTACTAAGTAGCAAAGAAAATAGACTTGATCTTATTGCAAACTATTCAAAATACTCTTGTTTTAATATATTATATTTAAAATTTTATTAACAACAACTATATGCTGACAAAATTATTTTAAAGTCTAAAACCTAAAACTAAAATTTAAAGACAAAATTGCTTTTGATCTATTTTACTTAAAAGATAAAATTTTTTAACACTTTTTTTGAAAAGATGAAATCATAAAGAATATAATTACCTAAATTAGATTTGCTCTTTCATATAAAAAATTCTAATTTGCTCTAATGAAGATGAAATAGGTTTTTTTTAAACCTATTTCAGTGGCATGTATAATAAATCTTATTAAAAAAACTTTAGTAGTCTTAAATTTTAGATTTAAAGTTTTAACTTGCTTTTAGTAAAAAGTTAGTTCAAATAATTATTGAAAAAAGTTGTAAATATTTTTTTTATATTTTATTTAATTATATTGTAGTATTTAATACTATATATATATTTTTTAAATAATTTTGCTAACAAAATTTAAAGTCAGAAAATCTGAAATATAGATTTAAAATAAGGTTTTTGGGGCGTTAAACATTTTTGCTTAGTATCTTTCACATATGTTGGCTAGTAATTTTTGAAATATAGCAATTGATGTTAAATACCAATAGTGCGATTTAGTAAATCTATATTTTATATATTGAATATTTAGTTATACCGATAAGCTTATTTACAAAATAACAAATATATTGTCCTCTAATTTATAAATTCTTATACTTCGCAATTTATTAATCAATCTTAGCAATTTTACCATTATTAAAATTATATATAAAAAATTCTTTTACAACTTTAAAAATACAAAAAAACTTTATTTAATTATTTTGTAAAAATACTATTTCTGATACAGTACTAATTTTGAAGTTAAAAAATTATTTGAGTACTATTTCTAATAGTGTTCTAAAAATGCACCCTAATTCTAATTTTTTATCGCTTCGCTATAGTAGTATTGTATTTTAAAGGCCTTTGTTTAGGACTTATCAGGAATGGTAACGGAATAGCACCAACTATCAGGAATGGTCTTTTGCGTTTACTAAATCTCAAAAAAAGGCAAAAAATGTGTATATAGTAAACAATAGTAAACAGATATCTAAAATTAAACTCAAGGTTTTATATAAATTTATAAAATTTAAGTGTATCGTTTAACTAACTCTGATACGTAATTATGTCTAGTACAACAAATCATTATTTAGATATAATAATTTTTTTCCTGTCTTTTATATTTAAATATCTCGAATTGTCCACCCCTCAGAAATAAAGAGCCCATTTTTAAATTTTTTATTACAGTAACGAATAATTAAGGCTAAAAACAACATAAATAGTAATGTCACGACTAATGTATTATCTTATGATACTCTTGGTTTTTGTTAGATCTGCCTCAGCCCGTAAGTAAACAAATTGTCTTTTTGCATGTTATTTAAAGCGAATTCAGTAAAAAGATTCGCTATATAGCAATAACTGCGATTATAATTATAAGCCAAATAGGAATTTTTAGCTTGTTCATCTTATCCGACTTGATTAAAAAATTCCGCAGATAAACGAAAAAAAGCAGGTAACCAAAATAATATTGTATATATCTATATTTTCAGAGGCTCAATCAGTTAAAGCACCTGCAAAAGGTGCCCCCTCGCCTGCTGTCACCATTCCAAAGGGTGCCCCCTCACCCGCAAAGGGTACACCCTCGCCTGCTGTCACTATTGCTCCCCCGCCTGCTGCCCCAAAGGGTGCCCCCTCGTCTGCTGCCCCAAAGGGTGCCTCCTCGCCGACTGCCGCAAAGGGTGCTTCCTTGCCTACTGCAAAGGGTACACTTTCTCGCCAACCAACCTCTAATACAACTGTGCCCTCTTTTTCGGTACATTCTGTTCCTACTTCTAAAGAAAGTTCGGGACAATCATCTTCCCCTAATATTGGATTTTACATTGGTGTTGCTATAACTGGCGTTGTGGTTGTTATAATACTATCTTTTGCAGGATATTGCATATATCAAAAATATCTATATTCAAAGTATATTCCAACTCCCGGCACCGTTGATATGACTCATGGCAACAATGGTTGATCACAATATATTGTATGTTAAATAAATAAACATTAAAACTTTTTACCCTTTTTTTCTTTTTTTCGAAGCAATCAAATCCGACATAATTGTATTATGGATTGGAACCGCTTAAAATTTTCTAATAGTTTAATCGTTTAATTCAGCCAGCATTAAAAAAATTCTGGTTCATGTCGGAGATATGGAATATTTTTTGAGCGATTAAACGGTTTCAACCCTTAATTGCTATTATAGGTATTTTGGTTTGATTACTTTATCTAGATTTGATTATTAATATTATGTCTATATTTAAAGAAAATAAATATAGAAAACAAACTTAGAGTTGTAACTTTATGCAATTTTTACAAGTTTCAGTACATTAGATTTCATGTAATCGTAATTTTGTTTCTTCTTTGAAGTGCCGTGATAGTAGAGCTACAATGCAATGAAATTAATTTGATCAAACTTCAGTAATGTCTGTGCTTTACATATCACATATGTAAATTATATGAAATCTAATTGAATGTTGCAAAATGAAACTTGTACTGAATAATTTATGATCAATTACACAAGTTTTCACTCTACAACATTCAATTTACTGAGACTTACATAAAATTTCATGAAATGAAAAAAATGTAATTTTCGTAATACAGCCCCTAACGCTAAACAGAATGCGGACTTCCAAAACTCATTTGTAGAATATATGTGACCAAAAGAGTGTTCAACTTCTAATTGGAATTGTCATCTCACGAGATCTTAACCTATGCTAAGCAATCCATAATATACTTTTAAAATAAATTTAATTATATATAGTTATTTCTAACTATATATGTATTTATGAAGACCAGTCTGGAATGCTCTCAAGAACGAAGACAGAATAATCGGCGCTTCCAGAACTAATCCATTTCTATTGGCATTTATTTTCTATATTAGTGAAGCCAATAATAATTAACTATATATATATATGTAAAATATTGGTATATTGCACATGACTGCATGATAATAGAAGCTAGTTTTGTCCCGGACTTCAATAATCGCATTTATTTGCCGAATGTGTTCAAAAATCTTTATGCAAATCAAAAACAAATTCATTAACAAATTTGTTATTGATAACGCTAAGTTTACATTATGTGGATTCATAAAATATATATGATTTATTGTGATTACCGTAAATCCGCGAAATTACGCGTTATTTCGAAAATCGTATCCTCTAAAAATAGTATACCTAGTTTCAAAATAACGTCCATGCGCGTCCCGAAATATCGCGCATCTTATACACGTAGCACATAAGTAAGGATGTTGGGCAGTCTGGTCAGAACCGTTGGACCACAGTTAGTCTTAAGACCAGTACGAAACTGAAAAAAATCAGTCTTCTCTCAGTCTTAAGACCGGACCAGTCGGAATATAGTCTGAATATACTTAAATCGTTAAATATAATCACTAAAGACCGAACCAGACTGGACCAAAATAGATTGTTAACATCCCTACACAAAAGCAAATATATGACACTGCTCAGAAAATTAGCCTTATTCGAAATAGCGCACATGGGCATATCCGAAATAACGCGCAGGTGTTCGAAATAACGCACAGATGTGTTACTGTATTTCGCGGATTTACGGTAACTTTTTTTGTACTCTTTACAAAAGTGGTTAGTTTCTATAGATTTACTAAGCCAGAAATAACTGCTCTTATCAATTGAGGAGCTTGTGCACATGTATATATGTTGTTTGTTTCTTAAAAGATCATAAGTTGTACTCATGCTGCACTTCGTCTAAGAAGTTTGTGTTTCATTCACATCGCAAATATCTACTGCTAGAATTATATACATATATACTCTACGATTTCAAGAATTTTTTTCGTAAATTTCTCATGGAAGAAAAAACAATATTATTCAGAAAATTGGATTTTATTCCTAGCATATTATTTTGACCATAATCATTCGTTTCTTGTTATCTCAATTCGAAATTTAAACAAAAAGCAATAGTCGAGATTGTTTTCTTTCATTAGCAACAGCAATCTCAACTATTTGCGGCATTGATTGGAAGACAAATTATAATAACACCAAACTCTTTAAGGTTCGCATGGTATGGTACACGTAATAATGATAAATAACTAAATTGCGGCTCGATTTTGACAGTTTTTTCATTAGCTTTTTTGCACACTCCTAAATTTTTCTCTTTTAATACCTGCACCTTCCTTACGCGTCATGGTATTACGATATATTTATTGACCGCAATATACTCCGAGGTTATCTGTATATTGAAGCTTGGTAGAAAATTTTATCCACGAAACTTTTGGAACGCTTCACTATCCAAAACAGCTGTAGCATCTCATATTATATGGTTTCAGCTGCGTCGCAACTATAGATGCTGGTGAAACTGGTGGAACTCTTGGTAAAACTGATGAAATTTAATATAACAACCAATCAGATTTTAGATTGTCACCAGTTTCACCAGCATTCACCAGCATCTATAGTCGCAACTGTATTGTTATTTTTGATTTTGATCAAATAATTATTACCGTCTTTTTCGTAATAACTTTATCTTTCGTCATTTGCGGATGAGCAACTTTCGCTTATTCCTTCTTACCACTTTTTGTGTCTCGAAGCCACATACAATTACATTTAAACCATTTTAATAGTGCTATAGGCATTTACTTAGGGCTGGGATAACTTACCTAACAATGTAACTAAGTTACATGGCTCTTATATACTCTTATGTAAATTATAAATATATAGACTTAATGCTAGCCAAAATTATAATAAACTTGACTAGCATTAAGACTAAATTTTTGATAATATAAAATTAATTTTTTTCAAGATAAATACCGTAGTGCACTGACCAAAAGACCCGGGTCTAATACAAAATACCCGTCAAAAAAACTTACAAAAGACGCGGGTACATTATACGGCAGTGGGTCTGTGTCGCAAGAAAGTTAAATTTCATTTGTATACATACTTCGCATTCATGATAACAGTCTAAAATTTAAACAAACCTACATTTAATTAATAGAGATCTCATGTTTTGCATTGGTATTTTGCAAGGGGTTATTGAAAAGGGGATAATTTGGTCAGTGCACTATGGTAATCAAAAAATATATATATATATATATTTGGTATTAAGGTGAGACCTTGCTTATATCTTTATTAATAGTTTTTAACATAGTAATTACAAAGAGTTGCTAACCTTTAAATATATAAAATATAAAAAAAAAAAACTATATGCAAGAATAAAAGCTCAGACTATTTTATCTGTGACCTAAACCTACTAGAGTGGTCAAAGACTCATCTAGATTGTGATAGATAAAATGTAATTAGGAAATATATTATAATTGATTCACAATGTATTAAAAATTTTGAGTTTGCAGATGGCTTGTTCTAATGGTGAGTAGGAATTATTGATATGTAATTGATCTGGTTGATTCCATTGGCATGAATAAGTATAAGCTTTGTAAGTTCACTTTGAGATTCTGTTATTAGATTCTTGTAACTGAGGTTGGTTATAAGGTAAAATAATTTCATATTGTTTCTTCCAGTTTGAAAAATTACAACAATATGGTTTCTATAATTGTTTGTAAATAAGTTCATTGATTCAAAGTAAAATTTTAATAATAATTTGAGATGTCAGTTTATACAGAATCTTAAAATTTTGAATAGATAAAACTTTTAAGTATGATATCTAAAAAAGTTCATGAGGCTTAGTTGCATATTATTGAAAGCTGTGTAATTTTGAATCATCTCAATAAGTTTATAAGTTTGGTCATTAGATAAATCTAGTACTAAGCTATGAATAAGTTCAGAAATAAAATTAGTAATAATATTAAAAAGAATGGTAGAGTTAGAACAAACTCTTCAGTATAAAACAGAATCTAAACTATTGCAATAAAAGCAGTTAGAATTATTAAAAATATGGTGATATCTAGTATCTCTTAAACTGTATTTCAAGCAAATTTGCCTAAAAAATTTAATTGTATTTAGTATTTTTTAAATAAAACAATAATTTATTAATAATATGGGATATACTTTCTTTATTATAAAAGTTTTTTAAAGTTATTAATAAATTTTTGAGCAATAAAACTTTAAAGTTTTTGTTTAAAAATTTTTTCTATTAAAAATTTTTCAAGATT